TGGACCGAACCTGACGCTGCCCAGGTCCGGTCGTCGTCGCGGTCGCGATCCTAATCCTGGCCCTGGCAACCGGCCCCGGCCCCCACCCAACCCGGCCCGGGCCCGCCCCGCCCTAACTCGCCCCGCCCTACCGCGAACCCGACCCGACCCGATCTGATCCGAACCGATCCGAACCGATCTGACGTGGTCTGGGCCTTCCCGCGGCCCTGCTCCAGTCCGCTCTCGGTCCAGACGTACGGTTACTGTGGAAGTCCCGGTTATGTTTCGGGCGCCGGCTCGGCCCAACCAAGGTAAGGCAGACCACGCTAAGCCGGGCCAAGCCAACCGAAGTCCAGCCAAGCCCATCCCGTGGACCCGAGCTGATCAGTGACGGCAGCAGGTCGAGCGCTCGGCGGCGCTGATGATGCAGCAGTCCGAGCAGGCAGCGCAACGGGAGGAGCGGCTGACCTTGATGCTGGAGCGGGTGCTTGCTAGCCGGAAGCGACCGCCAGCTACAGCCGAGAGCAGGAGCGGGGCTTTTAAAGTGGAACAACTCCGGCTAGCTGCACAAACAACAAACAACAAAACAACAAAACTGAACATAACATATCAGTCATAATTTGGTGTGTTCATTTTAGCTGGAAACCACTAGCACAAGCCTTATTAAAATTTGGCATAATTTGAGGTGCAGTCTTTAATGTCCTGTTTCTTTCTATCGCTAGAAGCCTGCGGAGAGGCCAGATTGGACTTGGAGAGGCAAGCGAATCACTCAAGAATGCATATGGACGCCCGTGACCATTGCAGATAAATGAAGTCGCAAAATCCGCGGGCAGAATTTCTTATCCGCACCATAAGATCAGCAGCTTCTGCCCGTAGCACAATGCTGGCTGTCTGCAGCACTGCGCACAGCTGATGATGATCGCGGCTCGTGCGGTGGATGTCGGTATGGCCTCCACAGGTGTGGCCGCCGCTGCCGGCTGTGCTGCGGCTTGACACGTCGATGAACCAGATTCATTCTTCGCGATGGGCCTGGGTTGTTGGCTGCTGACGTGCCTACTCAAAACTGGCCAGGCTTGGCGAACGATCCTCCGAAGCGGGGCATTCATCATCCGCCGCGACACTGATCACTTAGTTTTGTGTGAGCTCCGTGTAAAGATTCGCACTTCCACAGCTTGATTCAGCAACCGGCGTGTTCCGGACAAATTGGAATTTACTTGGTTTGCTTTTTTTGTAAACCAGTCCCCTGTCATGTGTCTCCTTAAAGTTATGCCCTACTTAGTTTAGCTCTGTTGGCCTGTCCTTTCGGGCCCCTTCCGACTGGCGGCTGGTTCCCGGATGGTGGACGCCGCGCCGAGGTCCTGCCACCGGTCGGAAGGGATCGGGGTAGTTCATGACCGAGCACGCCAGGGAAAGGACGTGCGTGTCCCCTCCCCGGCCTGATCAGACAACATGGAGTTATGGCCAGCAGTAAGACCATGCGGTGGTTCAACTCAGTTAAGAGGCCCCGACAGGGGAAACAAATACGTTGCTAACTGAACATCCGGCTTCGTGTCACTATGGGACGTTGCGTCTTTCTTCGTTTAACCAGATATCCTTACTGCACATGTATTGACGTTTTGACCCTGCACGTAGATACGACACAATTGGATGAAGGTGGATACCTACACAGCGCGTGCGTGGAGCGGCGCTATGCCCTTTCCGGCCACAAATCCACCACTGCCTTCAAAAAGGCGCAACGATAAAACAGAAAGCGCGGGGCGGCACGCCGCAGGCCTCCCCACATATTGGTCGTGACGCAGAGTCGAAAAGGAAGTGAACGGTACCTGTTACCCTGGAAATGAGTAGCCGGACTGCATGCCGGGCTTTCTGTGCACTTGCAGTTTCATGCCCTTCGGTAGATGGCGCTGATCATAACCAGGCAGCAAAAGCCGAGCAGTTGTTATGGAGGGAGGGGCGGAGGACATGATGTGCAATGGACGGCGATGGATACGACGGGCTTGGGTACCACCCAGGTGCTCACTAAGGGCGGTTCTGCTCTTGACGCCAGGGCTGCGGCGTTGTGTCGATCAGCGGTCCTGCAGGCGTCGGTAGCGATGCGGCGCCGCCCGCTTGCAGCAGCTCACGGTGTGCCGCCCGTCATCAGCCGACCTCTTATTGGATAAATACCTTCCTACGTCATCATGCCTACCGCGCACGTCACCAGCCGGCAGCAGGCGGCTGATCACGCGCCGAGTGGCGGTAATGGCGTTGGCTATATGTGCGCAACCCACGTAGCCCAGTATGTTGTTGCCTGTCAATAAGGGCGAGGGCTCGCATCCTGACGGTCTTCCTGGAAACTAAATTGGGCATTCCGTACTTTGGACATTGTGTACCCTGGACGTTCTGTACCTTGGACATTCTGTACCTTGGACATTACGTACTTTGGATGTTTTGTACTTTGGACATTGTGTACTTTGGACATTGTGTACCTTGACATTGTGCTTTGGACGTTCCGTACCTTGGACAATACGTACTTTGGACATTGTGTACTTTGGACATTATAAGCTTTGGACACCCCGTACATTGGACATTGTGTACTTTGGACATTGTGTACCTTGGACAATCTGTACCTCGGACAATGTGAACACCTCCACACCGAGCCGTTTTGGAGGTTATTTCTCATTTTGTATATTCTATACCTTGGACATTATGAAATCTGGACATTCTGTACCTTGGACAATTTGTACTTTGGACATTCTGTACCTTGGACGATATGATACGGACCCATCCTGTCTCGTCGAGACCAAAGCTGACAACCTGACAAAGAGCTTAAGGTCATGGCACCGGCTCCCATCGCTGATTGCCGGTCTGCCATTGATCTGCTTCTTTTCGCTGCTGCTTCCATCCCCCCCCCCCCCCGCCCAGTTCTGGATGGAGTGGGCCTAGTGCACCTACCGACGTCGCGGATGCAGGCGTTTCCCAATGCGTGCTGCTGTCGACGACGCGAGCTCCACTGCCGCAGTTCTCTGCGCCAGCCTGAGACCCCCAGAGGTCTCGTCGTCTCTCCCAAAAGCCGTACGTCCGGACGGCGCTGAGTTATCAGACTTCGGCCAGTGCTGCCAGCAGTGATGCAAGTGGTGGCCCCGGAGCGACCGCTAACAACGCCATCTACTCCGTGTCGTGCAGCGTTGCCATCTGGCATTCGCTCTGGCGCTTGTTGATTATCGTTCGTATAGCACCGTGGAATATCGTCGAGAAAACAAAATCAATTGATAGCACGATAGCATGTCAGCTCTTACATCTATTTCCCCTACTGTAAGGTGCTGTTAAAGTTGTTACATTTTTGTGCATGAAAACAGCTCATTTTGTACACCAGCAGGTCAGTGTTATACTATGCGTATCCCCTTGTTTCATGGTGTCTATTCCCGTTTATGTCATTAATTCCCTGCCTCGCATAAATATCCTAGGATTTAAACTCAGCCTATTAAGCCCCACCGCCGCGACGTGGCAGCAGAGGTCGAGCATACAGGCGATCGTTTATTGTCCCCACGTAACGACTGCCATGTCTGAAGGCATAAGCCCAAAATGATCACCAAAGACAAAGGACCGACAAGGCAGGCAAGGCAGACTCTCTTCCCCCACACAGCCGCCACCAGCCAGGGGTCATCTTTTTTCATTATTAGTGTTTTCGGGAGTGCCGACTGCAGTGATCATTTGGTACCCATGGGCCAGCAGTTATCACTTGTTGCCGAACTTGGCCGCCACGTTGTTGAGCGGACTCTTCATAAACCGGTCGCTGGCCATGTACTTCTTGATGGCGTCCAGCTCCTCGAAGCGGTGCAGAAACTTCTTGAGGTTGTCGTGCGGCTCCAGGAGGCTGGCGTCCAGCAGCCGGTGCTGGTCCAGCAGCTCGTACATCACGAAGTCGACCACCGTCAGCTGTTGAGCCAAACAGGGCCGTAGGTCATTGGGCCGGCGGCAGGAACACACGGGTGGGGGGGGGGGGGGCATCTGTGGGAGGAGGTCGGCCTCAGCAGAACACTGTCTCAAAGACAGGAGCGTTAGACGTTGCAACGTCCGCCCGCGGTGACTTCTGTAACGCCAGGAATGCTTAGCAAGGAGCCAGCTATTATTGTATACACGACCGACCCCAATGCCGTGTGAGGCCAACGCACGATGAATCATGATCATGTTTCGCTAACAAATTGAAGGCAACATCTCAACTATACATCTGCTTCTTCAGTTAAGAGACGGACATGAATAATGCTAACTGAGTGAACCGCCCGTCCGGTCACATGACCGTGGCGTCCATGCGCTGCGAGCGCGGCTCAGGCCAGCACTGATAACGCAGTGTTGACATTCGACACCGCGGCGGAGGCCGATATCGGTCCTTATCGGCTCCGCAATGACCCCACCTAGTGTCCTAGCATCCTAATCGCGCCAGCTTACAGCACGTGAAAGAGCAGGACCGCAGCAAAACCGAGCATGCGGCCGGAAAACCGAGGGTGCTGGCGAGTATGTTTTTTCTTCTTTTTCTTTTTTTGTTCAGTACTTGGACGAAACGCTCGTGTTTTTCTATTACGTAATCCTTCAATAGGAAGATGGGCTGTCGCAGCAGTTGCATCGTCCCGCACCGTCAGCATTGCTTGGCCGCGCGTGGCTAACGCAGCAGGAGTACGCCACCAAGAAGTTAGGTACGATTCCCACCCGCATCCCCACCTTCATACAGGACAGCTACCACGGGCGGCGGCTTCATGGCTCGGCACAGGTCGGAAGTTACCGTCTCCGTCTCGTTAGGAGTCCAGGGTGCAGGTCCCGTTCGGAACACTCTGGTGGCGGCGCCAGTGAGCATACAGCAATCTATGCCGAGTGACGGTTCTGGTTGTTACGTCGCCCGCGCAAATAACGCATGCGACTAAAGCTTGAAACTGGCAAAGATGGTACGTATGCCTTTAATATCGACCCATTTCACTTGCATCCTGCGTTTAGAAGCTCATTGAAAAGATGAGAATAATGAGGTTTTTAGAGACCAATAACTTGCTTTTTAACCCCCAGTGTGCCTTCAAAAAAATCGAAGCACACTAGACTACCTAGTTGTGCTTGACAATGCGACCTGGGAGTCGTTTACACGCGGCCAACACGTTTCAGCCGTCTCATTTTACTTAAATAAGGCATTTGACCCCACCTGACATCACGGCATCCTCATGAAGCTGCGTGCATATTGTGTGCGGGGCCACATGGGTTGGTTTACGTGCTACTACCTGCGTGACCGGCATTTCCGAGCACGAGTAGGGAACGCCCTGAATGGTCGTTTCCCTAGTATACATGGAGTGCCCCAGGGAGGCATCCTCACTATTCCGTTGTTCACTATTTCCAGCGAACGACATCGGTTACCCATTGCCCACAAATGTGCTTCGCCCACTTTTCTTCGACAATTTCGCCATGTCGGCCTGCGCGTCCTCATCGACTTCGGCTGAACGACAGATTCAAATCGACCTTGACAAACTGACGCACTGGGGTTTTGTGAACGCTTTTACCTTTCCACTTACAAAAAACACGTATATGCGCTTCTCATAGACAGAGGGATTGTGCAGAACCTCGTGTGAGTCTGTGGAAGAGCTTTACCATTCCCCCGACGTCGGAAAGCTCTTGGGTATTGCCTTCGGCAGGGGGCTGTCGTACGGCAGGAGGCCCATTGTACAATGCTCAGGGATCGGTAAGCAAAGACAATGAACATCCTCAAGGTCGTCTCGAGGATGTCCTATAGGGCCGACCGGAAGACGCTGCTTCTGCTATATAGGGTGCTTTAAGTTAGATCATGGGTGTCAGACGTTTAAGTCCGCACGTAACTAAGCATTTTTTTTTAGATTAGAGCTCTTTCGACCAGAAATGATCATTTCGAGGCTGTGGGATGAAGGACAATGGTTAACGGTGGGGCAGATTTGCATGCGCCTGGGGGGCCAACCACCGAGCTTTAACCCGCGCATGCGCGCTGGGTACCCGGTCGGGTCCCCCTTTCCAAGGGGTGCTCGGCCCACTCGTGGCTGACGCATGCAGCCTGTCCCGGACAAGCGGGGTGTCGCGAGAATGCAGGATAAAGCGAGATAAGAGGGACGGATCAACGTGACTTAGCAAAAGGCACTCCACACTACTGGCGCACTTGTAGCGCACTCATCCTACACCACGACGGCGCGCGCACTGTGACGGGGGCATTCCGAACCAGCCCAATCGCGAGCCTTCTCGTCGAGGCGAACGAGTCTTCGTTACGTTTACGGCGCGAGATGCTGAGCTCGCGCAGCGCTCCGAAAATTGCTCAGTTTGACGCACATCGGGCCTTTCAGAGCATTTTCTCCGAATACCTGACGCAGCATTTTTCGGCACGCGGAACAAGTTTCTCTGAGCCCATATGTGTACGAATCAGCAGACGTCTGCGGGCGGCAGGCATAAGACACAGCCACCGGACCGATTACCATGGCAGGAATGCTGATACCCGCGCAGAGCCAACAGGCGCATACTGAAGGCGGATGCCGGAATTAAGAGCGTCAATGCAAGGTACTCACATTTCCTCCCGCAAACCACTCGTGGTCGCCAAGGAACTTCGCGAACCTCTCGATCGCGCTCTTCACTTTCTTCAGGTATCCATCCTTCAGATCATCCTGGAACAGGGGGGGGGGGGGATCAGGGTCATCACAGAGCAGCACTGCCTTACTATAAACCACCACCAAGTGAGTTGCCGTCGCCAACCATAACCATCGACGTCCGAAAAGCCGACACGAAACGAACCCGAGAAAGCGCCGCTTCCGCGACTCGAGCCGTGTCGATCGGGCAGCGCGAACGGCGGCGGACGTCCGCGCTGGGGCGCACTCACGAAGTTGGGGTTGTAGCAGAGCTGCACGAGGCCGTTCCTGAAGTCCATGGACTGGTTCTCCATGATGTCGACGCGCACCCGTTCCGGCTCCGTCTTGCCGAGCAGGTCGTGCTTGCGGCCGATGTAGCGCACGATTGCGTTGCTCTGCGTGATGCGCGTGTCGCCGTCGATGAGGTACGGCAGCTGCCGGGAGGACGTGACGGATTACCGGCGCTGCTGCAGTCGGACGCAGGGCGCTCGTCGATGCGGCTGGCAGGGAAAACCATAAGCGTCGCCACACTGCTGGAAACCGGGGGCAATGAAGGCAATGCTTCGCCAGAGGCCTTTGTTCGATTTTCTGTGGTGGAAATCGAACAAAGGCCTCTCAATCCAAAGGAGTAATGGCCACCGCATGATCATCCGAACAACCTGGTTGCTCGGTCACACATCATCATTTGTCATTAGACCCAGAGCACAGCGTCGTAACCCCTTTCACGCGGAGCGTACCGCCTCCACCACTCGCGGCCACTCCCGGCTCGCCTCACACCAAGGCGCGCAACCGCGGCTGATCAGCGGCGTTACAGCTAGGTCAGGGTCCCAGGAGCGACGGAGAGGGCAACCGTGACTGTGAGGGGGGCGGAGTGAGGAGAACGCGTCACATCACGCCGCCACAGTCACGTGAGGCGACCAACGCCGCTCAAAATAGCACGCAGCCGTCCGATCATGCATCGGTTACGATAGCTGTAACCTCACCACGAGCAGCCAGTGAACCATTCGAGGCCTGGTCCAGGTGGTTGCTAAGTGGGTGCTACCACTCATTCCTTACGGTGAAGGTTGAAAGGAGAAAAAGTGGGGCATTGCCAGTGAGCCGGGCAATCATGCAGGTTCGGAACACAGAACGTCGCTTACGTGACTGATCACCGGTGGGCAACTGGCGACCGGCCGCGACGGCCCGTGGGAAGCAGCTGACCGAAACGGAAGGAGTCAAGTCGGCATGAGCGCACGTGTCATGACGTCCGACTACTCACAGCGACACACGTCAGGGACGCGCGGTCCTGACACCGGCGTTATTCGCCGCGAAACCACATAGCTTGCCGTAACACGCTTAAAACCCTTCAGTACAATTTGACTGGAGCCAAAACAAAACTAGCTTAATGGACTGGAAAGGCTTTCCAGCGGCAGTGGGATTAGTGCCTCTGCAACGACATACACTTGGTAGGGATTTCGACCCCAACAAATGTAGCACCAGCATGGGAAAATACGGAACAGAGGACACCACTGTTAGACGCCTATAAGCACCATACACTTACATTGGGAAAGTCCAGCTTGAGCTTCTCTTTGACATCGAACCAACAGGACTTGTCGTAGTCTGGCGGCGGACCACATTGGTATTTCTTGTCTTCAAACTTCTCTCCGGTGTACTCCAGCAGCAGGCGGATGGGCTGTGCCAGCTGCGAACAAGCCACGCTCAATAGCTGTCTCCTATCGTCGTCACCGCCACAGGGGCTACACGACGCACTCAGCTGCTGAGGCTATGTGGCATCGCCTGCCTCTCATTTTGGCAGGAACGGCAGCCACTACGGGAAATCAAACCCTGTGCCTCTGGTGTTGAGGACACGTACCACCATCACCTCACTTATTCATGTTTGGACAGCCGCAACATGAAGCGTGAGCGCAAGGTGCATACATAACCTCTAAACAAATCGGAGCACAAAGCTAATAAATAAGGAGGATTGAGGGACACGAGCGTGCGCAATTCAGGCTGTGAGCTGAGGGCCAGTGGCGTCTGGCTCCCCACCTGAGATAGATGCATTTAGAAGAGCGGCACCATCTACTCGCATCCCCCGTCGCACACACGGATGACCCGCTAACTTGTGCATTACGTGGCTTGCGGGCACTCCACCACCCAGCCCTCGTCACATTCACGAGCTCCATCCAAAGAATATGCTCGTATCCAAAGTTGTATAGGCACGGAAAAATCATACCTTCCAACACATTGGTTACCGCTGGCGATGCGCCACAAAAGGCGCCGTTGGTGATCTCCGCAAATTTTGCATTTCGAGGTGGATTGTCGATCAAATGCCCGACCGCATCCCATTTCAGTTAAAAGGGTACAAATCTCATCAAGCCATCTAATCATTACAGGAATGACTTTAAAAATGACAAGTGGGGAACAGCACCTTTGACAATGCTTGGTTTCAGATCAAGTCCCTGCCGTACGCTTGCCACCGCATCTACCCCCTCTCTCCCCCGCTCCACGGCCTGCACTCCTCGCAAACTGGCACAATCATGAAGACAGGTATTGCCAGGTCCGTATCACTCGGGAGGGTCTGGCCAGCCCGTATACCACGACGTTTACAGCAAGACCACGTTTGCGGGCTGTGCGAGCCTTGAGATTCAGCGTAGTGGTGGTTAACACCATCGGAAGATGAAATGTTCACAGAGATAGCGTTAACACGCGCCCGGATGACCGGTTGGACACCCTTCGCTGGGGGGGAGTCGGTTTGACCCCCTGAGATCTCCGGAACTAAGACAGCTACTGACATCAAATTCCACAGGTGTTCTGACATCTATGTGAACTTACTTAGGTCAAAGTTTTAGGCTGCTAGGTCATAACCTTCAGGTAAAATAAGGTTAAACGAGGTCAAAGTCCAGGTCGGTCTTTGAAGGGCCCGTAGAACCTAGATAACTGTTCTAAACAAAAATTTATGTGCCCATCTAAGGTCAGTGGCCTTGCTTGACCTTTGTAAGGTCACGGTGGCCAAAATCACACAAGATTGCTTTGAACCTTGCATTTGGGTAAATGACAAAAATTGCGCTACGCATGTTCCTGAAAAAACAAAAACGTCGAGCTGAGTCATTCTACGGCAGTGACCTATTCTGACCTTTAAGAAGTCTATGGAAGGTGTATAATGCGGTTCCTATTATCAATAAATTCGGAATGAGCGCCAGGAACTACCCCATACAGCAAGTGCTAGAATAACAAATCAAGTTGGTTTGAATTTGGTCTGACCTTTATACCTGACCTGGGTCAATGTGATTTGGTTATTCAATTGTTGTCTTGTCTAAGAAACAATCTCGGAGATGTCTGGCTTCGTCTAACACTCCGGTTGTTTGATCAGATTGAATGAGTCCCCAGAAATTGCCTTTGCTGAGGCCATGGCCCGACTTTGACCTGCCATAGGCTAGTGGCCTTATAAGGTACATCTAATTTTTATGTCAGACCATCCGCTATTCAATTGTCTATAGCTATGCACAATTTGGCGCGGCTACGCCACACCGCTCGGAAACCATTCCGGAAAAATCAGGGGGGGTCAATCTGAACCCCCCCCCCCCCACCCGAGCGCGTGTTAAAAAAGTGCCCTGCGTCTTATGTGCGCCCGGGGAAGCCATCATGGAGCTCCCGACTCATGACAAAAGCGCCGTGTCGTCTTGGCGGTTGTCATGCCCCCACCCTCCCGCATACGGACGCAGCTTCGTCCTTCCTGTCCGGGCATTACAGTGCGCTTGAGACACGGCAGCGGTTTTCAGGCCACATACCAGGACGACCTAAAGCGGCTTTTGCTGGAGATGTCGTCGGTGGCTGTGAGCGAGATAACAGCCGAGTTGACGGGATTTTACGTAGTTTACCACAGCCGCAGCGCTCTTGTCCGCCTCTCCTGGTTGGCCGAGATCGGCCAAGCTTGTAGCGTCGCAGGTCGTGATAAGTCAGGTCTGTCGCGATGCGCAAGGCGGCCGTGATGAGCCCAGGCAGCGGTGATAAGACAGGGCGCTAGTGACGCGCCACGCTCACCTCATGACACTAGGCAGCGGCGCTGGGGCACAGCGGCGGCGAGCACATTCGTCGCGAAGACTGCGTGATCGCCGTGCTCAGCACCAGCTGCGAGAGCCATGACTTGCTGTATGGGCCACAGTGGCCGGCTGCACCGCATGCCAACCACGGCGTACCAACGCCACCGAGACGTGGCGTTCGTGTCGCGCGATGGCGATGACTTGCTGATGAATTATTGACTCAAATGTCAGCGACACTTGACGATAACGGCGACCCCCCCCCCCCCCCGCGTGGTCGCCGTCATCAGACCGGTCCGGGCTGGTGCGGCCTGGCGAGCTCGCCACTCGGCGGCCGCGGCGGCTGCTCGCAAACTGCGCCGCAGAAGCGTTCAAAGCTTGCTGTCTGTGCTTGTGTCAGGCGGGCGTGTAAGTGTTGGAAATTCTGACGTCATATATGTAATGACAACCACACCGAACACGTGGCATGTTTATATGCGGTTCTCATCGATCGTACACACACTCGCTTCAAGTGAAGGGAGGTGTGCCGCGGTACGACTGGGGCCGCGCCTGACCTCCCACCTTGCCAAGTGGCGTCCCTCTGCTAGCCGGCTACGCTGCCAGGAGCGGGCCGAGATTTCGATGGCATGCATCAAGCGCGCTGTTTTTGCGGCTGGTTATAAACTCTGCCACAACCACGAGTTTTGTTTCGTAATCCAGAGAAGTCACGACTAGCGGAAAACCGAACAAAAATGTAGCGATAAGTGAGAAATCGAGAACTTTGGGAGATACTATGTCAAACGCAGGATGAAGAAGACTGTGACTTGCACGTTGCATGCCGGGACGTTTAAAGTGAAATTGTGAAATATGGCGTATGACTGTGATCATGACTGTGCTGCAGGATCGCAACCAGGATTTTCTTAAGACAGGTGGGGGGGGGGGGGGGCGGAGCTCGGTGGGTAGGCATCACGTAATCTTTTATTTCCTGTCGGGGGACATCTATGGCGAAAAAATGCGGGCCTGAGGAGGGGCGCCTCTCCCCCTTGGCCGCGTACTCCTCCTATGATGCCTCCCATATATAGAGAGGTCTTTTAGCTGCTTGCTGGACGTCTGGCTTCTGCGTGGTCATTCTGGCCACTGACGAGTCCTCTTGTCATCCAGATGCTCAGATGTCTGTCTGGTTATCAAGAATCCCACGGGCCGTCCAGACCCTCTGCATACGTTCAGAGCCTTTTACATACTAAAGCCACGCGGCATACTCGTGATCCCTTTTAAGGCTGCCAGCACCACAATGTTACAGCCCAGCAGTCAACCTTCTGTGGTAGCCAGAGCGGCTGTCCACAGTTGGACGGCTGCCGAGTCTCTATCGGTTCGGTGACCTCCGGGGTCGCGACCGCAACGCTCCGCGTCTTGGCGTCAAGTCCACCAGCGGCGCCCGTCGGACCAGCACCATTCTGCATGGCCCAGCGTGGGTGTCCGCCGGTCATCCGTGCGAGATGGCCCGGTCCGGCGAGTGTAGACACATGGCGACCTCCGCTCGTCAGTTGGCTACTCCCCACACCATGGCAACCTACGAGAAGGCTGCCCGATCTTTGCAGCGCTAGAGGGAACTGAGAGCGGAGGAACACTTGTTTCACAAGGGCTTCCGTTTCAGGAGTGTTGTTGGCAACATTTTGTAAATGGACATTGCACGTGCATTGGCTGTACGCTGCCTGTGCCCAGGAACACGTCGAACAGTCGGCTCCGCGTCGTTCGGAGCCCTGCCGGTCCATTCTCCAAGCACGAGCAAGGCTGGGCCCGCGATTTGCATGGGTCGGGATCCCTGAAACACTGAGAGTGTTTGTCAGGTGCCCAGAGTGCCTAATAGGGGGTCCTGTGTCGACGCGGGACCCGGGTCGGCCAGGGGAGCATTTGCTGAACAGGGACAGTGACGAGACCCAGAATGCTAGACGGCCTTTTTGGTTTGTCGGGACGACAGCGCAGTTTGTCTCCAGCTTCCACTTAGCCTGATTGTGTGTCAGCTCAGTAGATCTATACGTTTTGAAAATTTCACTCAGTCTCATATCAGTGCTCCACAAGCTTCATTTTAACAACCCACGAATAAAAGGTACTATGCCAGTGTTTGAGCACATAGCCTCAGCCTGTGCCAGTTCGGTTCTTAAATAAACAGTGTGGCCGAGTAAGACCACATCTGAAGAGAGTGCGTGAGCTTAGCCACGCCCCTGGTGCATGTTCATGGTATTCTACAAACATGACGAATGGAAAAAGCTACACAATGTTCGGATCCCTAACAACCAGACAGGCCGCGCTGTGCATTTTTTTTTTTCACTCAGGGCTGTCGTCATCCTCCGGCCTAAATTTATCAATGGGATGCGAGCGAGCCCGCCTGACGTTCGACGCATGAAGACGACGACGCATGAACCGTCTCGACTAGCGGCCGCCAGGCGAACAGGAATCGATTCGACGTCGCTCCCTTCGGCACACCATCCTAGGCTGCACCAATGTCTGACCATTTTGTTGCATCGGGCGGTCCGCCGGGCCGGAGTCCTGTTTTATGCTAACTGGAGCCTAGTAGCTCGATGGATTGGCTTGCGGTAGGTTCACCTGAGAGCAGCAGCTGTGATGCGCAACATTTATTGGCATCCCGGCGGTGCAGTTTTGAGTCCACCCGGTGTGCGCAACATTTAGTGGCATCCCGGCGGTGCAGTTTTGAGTCCATCCGGTGCTCCCAAATGATTGATAATTTCTCATACCGAGCGCTTCCTGGGCATAACGCGCGGCATACCATCCTAGAATAGCTTGCTTCCTGAGCCCTATAATACAGTCTCGGTTCTTTAATTACCTTCAAAATTAGACCAAACTGTAAAGTTTCCTCATTTATTCATACCTACCCTGATCGTGCTGATCAATCCACCCACTAAACGGGTGGCAGGACATGCGATCGCTGAAGTCCGTTACCACAAGTGCGGCCGCCCCGGGGTTCAACGTATACCCCGATGACGTCACACAGGGATCTTTGCTGAGAAGTGCGTAGTCCGGACGATACCACCTGATACAAATCGTCATTTCCAAGGCGCTTTGTTATTCCTATCACATTTTTGGTTTTGACAGCTGTTGCGCGTTTGATCCGCGAAAAGCGCAGTGCTCCATTCATCCCATTGATCACTGATATTGATCGTGATTTGTGAGGTGTGTCTTGTGCATAAAACGAGAAAGGTTGCGAGCTCTTTCAAGCAGTTTACCTGTTTTAAGCTATCAAATATGTGATCCGAAGATACTTAATTATTTGGAACGTTACATGTCCAACTGATGATATTGCTATAAAGGGAAATCTGGACCACCATTGCAAAAACTTGGCAATTTTTAATCCTTGAATCAGGTGCTGCTACTTTGGTGCTTGTTTTGCCCTTTTCACACATTCATTTCCCCAGCTGCTGGTTTCTTGTCATCATAATACTATCATATCCCAGTTTTGTGAAATCAATCAACAACATACAATGATATTGCAAGCATTAATGGTCAAAACTGCACACTTGTTCAAAATAATTATGTTGATCATTGGTTTGATGTTAAATATGTTGTTTTGGATGCATGATTTTGAAAAGGTGGTAACCTTTCTTATTGTGAGATGTAGCGAGATGTTTACCTCAAGTTATGAAATTAGCACAACCTGGGTTACTGGTGTGTCATATCTGCTTTAGGTGGGACGGTACAGGTTCTGGTGCTGTGAGTGAAAATAGGAATTTTCATTATTATTTTGCATTTTGAACCACTATAGTTTTGTAGTTTTGAAATTGAAAGGAAGTGCTCCATGTATGCATTGGGTCTTGAGCTGAAATAGCCATTTTGAACATCATTCGGTGCAGGTCACCAAGGCATCCATGTCACCATGACAACACCATAAATCCTGCCATTCCACAAGTCATGCAGAGATGAAGGCCAATAAAATATAATTGTTGAGACCTTCACATCAGGCTATGATATCTTCTATTGTGAGCATGATTTCCAAGATGTTGACAGCATTTTCACTACATGGAGAAATTGTGTCATGTAGAACAGCATTTTTGACTTAAAAGCATGCCAACAGGTATAAGTGAGCCTAATTCATAATATCTGAGCCTTGCCTCAGTATCTTTAAATGTAGAACATTCCCTTGAAGGGATAAATAGCATACATTTTTTAGCATGTGGCCATTTTGATCTGCAGAGGCCTGCTATATCCAGCCCACAATGCAGCCAAAAGCCTGTAGGTTAGTTCAGGTTAGATGGCAGTAAGTTGAAAAGTTGTGTCTCTTAACTCTAGACTCCCTCAACTTCCTCTAGGCTCTACACCCTCAAGCATCATATAGTGACTGGTTATGCAATAGTCCTCTCTTGGCAGTTGCCACTACCACTTGACACCATCAGACAGTAAACTGTTTTACAAGCAGCAAGGGGGCTAATTGCAATACCATGACTGGATGTAGTTATGTTTAATACTATATCAGTCTGATCAGACAGCTTAGAATCCCTTGTACTTATGCCACAGAAAAAGCAAAAGGGCTAATTGCAATATCATGACTGGATGCAGTTAGGCTTAATACTGCATCAGTCTGATCAGACTGTTTAGACTGCCCTTGTACTTACGCCACGGATGTTCCAGTACCCAAGTTCCATAATGAGCTTTTGGTGCAATCACTAGATGTGATGTCTGTTCAGAAGACCTTGAATAACAACCGGAGTGAGGTATGATGCCTGAAAAGGAAAGCATTGTTGAGATGTTAACTGAGAGCAACAGCAAAAGCAACAATATGCTGGGAGTCAGGACACCAGCCTGTGACAAAGTGATGACTGAATGATGCCATCCAAACCTACCTGCACACAAAAACTCACAAACAATTGAGAAATGAAAAACACAATTGGAATCAATTTTGCATGATGCAATGCCACAGGGCTTTTGTTAGATCTTCCCCAAGAGGTGGATGGAAAAGGCCACATTTAAAAAGGTTGAAGCCTAGGAAAAACTGATGTCCATGCTGCCCTGCCGCCAATTCCTGTGTCTGTTCATCAAATTCACACACATGGTAAAGCAGATGACAAAAGCAAGAAATTTGCACACATGCAACTCTTTCTGGGGCCCCAGTTGGGAAAAGCATGCATTACCATGGGATGGACCCAATGAGGCAGCACTATAGTGCCTTAACTGGAACACTCAGTATGGCATAAGTTCCAGAGGCAAAAGTTTGGGGGTGCCACACATCTGAGTCATCTGGAAATTCCTCTAGTCTGGATGAAATACCATCCGGCACTGGCATTGTAGTGCAGTTAGGTTGGTGGTTCTTTGCAGCCTCTATGACAGTCTTCATTTTCTGGAAGCACTCTATTTTCCTTAACTGCAACATTCAATTCTCACAAGGTGTGACACATTTCAAAAGGCAGGAGGATGAATGTGGAGGTTTGGATTTGGAGAAAGCAGCTAGTTACCAACTTCGGGAGAAATTAACATTGACACTGTGGCAGTGCATGGAAATAAGGTACTTAACAGGACTTTGTCTCTAAAATGAAGGCTATGTTATCAATGGTTCATCTGTGGTTTCATCAGTCCTAGTGAATCTAATGACTCAAAAAGTAGGTGGCTAATTGATATAATGTGACTTGAATGGATAGCACTGTATCCATCTCAGGGATTATCCAATCTGGTGTGGTTGAAAAATGGCTCATTCAACACACAGGATACAAGCTCATAAGATATTGCACAATCTCATACCGAAATTATACTGATGAGCGAATTTGCGGGTGTGCGGTGCCAGCGGCGATGGATCACCGTTGTCGGATGCCAATAACCAAACGCCACTCAGCGAAATCACAAAAATCGTGAATCAAGTCACCACATCTAAACAACGCACGAATGTCCCAACCCCGCCGGTCTGTCCATACAACACCCACCTGCCCCGCAAACTCGGCGCGAACTGGTGGTCGTTATTTTTTTAACAAGTCACGAGAGCGCGCTCATTGGCCGTGCGGCTAACGACTAACGCCATAAGCGTTTGGACTAGTCCATTTTGCACACATGGGAAAGGTGAGGAAGCGAAGTCTTGCTGGCGTTTGGTTGGCCGTTTGACGTTTACAGGCCGATGGGGAACCATTTGCGGCGCTTCAATTTAGCGTCGGGATTCTTAACGCATTCAGATAGGGGTCAATTCTACCTGGCACAGGCTTTTCCGAAATAATTTCCGAACGCCGTGGCGAAGCCGCGCCAAATTTTGCAAAGCTGTAGACCAGTGAATAGTGGATCGTTTGGCATCAAAAATTTAGATGTGCGTTGTCGGGTCGATGATCTGAAGCAGGTCGAAGCAGACCATGGATTGAGCGAAGACAATTTGTAGGGAATCGTTTAATACAAAGAATGCACCAAAGGATGTTAAACGAAGCCGATCCATGCATTTGCACCAAAGGATGGTAAACGAAGCCATACATCTCTGAGATGTTTCGTAGACAATGCAGCGATTGAATGAGTAAATCTCCTTGACCTAGGATCAGGTGTGAAACCGTACAGAACACGTAACGAGGTCAGGGGAGGGCACCCCACATCCCAGGAGATGCATGGGCACCTAGTGCGCCTGTCTGGCTATGGGCATGTGCATCAGATAGCTGCATTGTCGAATCAGGATACTCTGTTTCGGTATTTCTAGATTTGGAGATCCTCTTTGTGAATAGGAAGGACCCTGTACTGGATCAGGAGACATCCCTTTTAACCAAGGGGTCCTTGCCTGGCACAGTGGTGCAGCAAGGACCTTGGTGCCCTTGCCTAAAGGACCTACACATGATTTCAGGCACGACATCGCTCTACACCTGAATTTCGCGCCTCAAAGGGCTTGGAGCCTTTTGAGATGCCCTCAGGAATTGGGTACCTCTGGAAAATAAAGATTGTGGTGCCCGAAATGGTGGTTTTGGTGCTCCTTTGTCAAATGGTCCGATCCAGGATTTCGCCAATTGGATACGGACCGGATACTTTGTGCCCCTCGGAATTCGGTACATCGGGAAAATGAAGATTTGGGACCCTTTGCGTTGCCCCTGAAATTCGGTTTCTCTCGAAAATCAAGGCCTGTAGTCCCGAAATGAACGTTTCCGTACTCCTCCACCAAGCCATTTCGGTGCCAGGAAGAGCTACCGAAACCTCATAAGTGGGGTTGGGTGGGTGGTACTGTCCCCATACTCCTCTCCCGTCTAGATTCATCCCGCGTGCTAAGCACTGTTCGATTACAATGAGAAGGACGAAATAATTCAATTTTGACAATCTTGAAGCACACGGATGGATCGAAAGCGGATAGCGTTGTTGGATGTGCTTCTGTACAGGGTCCTGTCACGCGGTCTTCTGCTTTGCCCGGTCGCGCATCGGTCTACACATCCGAGCTAGTAACCATTCTTAAAGCACTTTATTTCATAGAAGTTGATAGTGGCGATCAGCACTTAATTTCATCGGACTCTCTTAGTAGTCTTACGGCATTGGAGGATTTGGATTCATCACATCCCATCGTTGCTGTAGCTGCATCAGCATCGGCATGTACAGAATCAGCTACTTGCTGATGCCGTAGCAAGACGTGTCACACACGTACAGCTCACATCCCCAGTATGACAGTCCCTGCTAACGACCTCAATGCAGTAGTGTCGGCATTCATGTGTAAACAGGGGCGAGTGAATTGAGGTGCGCATGCCGCCAAGAAACTGAGAGAGATAAAGCCCCTGTTGGGACCATGGGCGTCCAGCTGTCGTAAGGTGAGACGAGATGAAGTAACGCTACGCCGCCTGAGAATAGGGCATACATACGCAATTCACCGATACCTGGTTTGTGAGGGAGACCAACCGTGATACCCTCGCTGTAGAGATCGCTACACCGTACGATATGTGTTGATAGATTGTGCCCATCTCGTTTCGGAACGCATGCACCATTTTGGATCAGCTTCCGTGCGTCAAACGCTCTATGGCATCTTGACAGACGGCTCGAGCTTAGTAAAGGGCGGTCATATTTTTAATTTTCTTTAAGACATGCGATTCCCTGCCATGTTTCGGACGCAATCTTGTCTCCTCGCTTTTTGACGCATCTGTTAAATAAAAAGTAAGTTATGGACGCCATGTGATCATCGTAGTCGGAGCACCCAAAGCCCAAATCATCATCATCAAGGATATACGTTAGTTCTTTCCTGTCAAGGAGCCCATCGAGTACCGAGGACAGTAATACACCACGGGGTGTATTACTGTCCCCGGTCAAGGGCTGAAAGGCCGTCCTGTCCCACCGTGGTGTGTTTTCAGGTCATCGTTCTGGCGACACGGGGTGGCATCCCCTGGCCGATCCGAAGGCCGTTAGAGGGATGCATCACATCACACTGGTCCGCTTCCTAACGTGGCAGGCCTTCTGATCAGCATATCTGATCCCGGACCGACGCGTGAATCGTCCTTAACCAACAACATCTGCTCGCAGCAGGTTGTCAAGTAATTTGCACATAGGCTCCAGTTAGGTTTAACGGGCCCTTGCTGCAATAGGGTTGCAGGTCTCACCATTTGGTACTGGGGCCTTGACGGGCACAGACCTCTTCTTTTACCTTAGTGTGAGCAGTCATCGTAAGTTCTTATATTTTCCTTAAATTTCAGAGGGCCCCGACCAACGCAGGAGACCCTCTTTCATTCGGGCTTCCGTCCCCGTTGCTGCTGAGCAAATCCGCTGACCGATTCAAGGCCCCTTTTTGACAAAGGAGGACCACGGTGCCCTGTTACGCAATGTTGGCCTCTGAACGATGCAGGAGCCCGACCAACGTAAATCGCAGACCCGACCTTGTTCCTACTTTGGCAATGGGCCCCCACAGTTCAGACCAACATGGAGCCGACTGTTTGTTATTGGTGATCTCTGGCCGAAAAAGAGGAACACTATTTCTCAGGGGTCCCTATCGGTGCAAGAGATCATCACACTGACATTTAAAATCACGGCCCTATGGGCGGGGGTCGTGAATGTGACCTACAGCCGGCCCTTCAGACCCTTTAGCCATCCTGTCGGGCCCTTGATCTTTTGTCTCGAGAGACTCTTTGGCCTCTTCTCGGGACCCCTCAAACACCGCTCCGACTCGGGGTCACTAGCCGCCACAGGATCATTGTTCGGCACTGTGCCCCTAACCGACACAGGAGCCTCTCATTATGTCAAGGACTCCGAACACTGAAATTCACTGACTCCAGCCTCGTTTCTGCCTGGGAAACGGGTCTCAAGGGCTGAGAAGGGCATGGAACCGAATGTTAGGTGTTCTTGGCCTCTGACCGACGTAGACACCCGCATCGTCTCAGGAGTGCAAGAGTGCAAGAGGACCTCTGACTGATATTTCAGGCCACGACCCTAAAGCCAGTCCTAAATGTGTGTGACCTAATGTGACCTAAAGCCAGTCCTTCGGTTTCTTATGCCCTCCAACGGGGCCTTTGATCGTCGGTTCTGGTGTGCCGCCCAGACCCCTCTTCTAGCCTCATCGAACACTTCCCTTGGTCGGGTTGTGGCCCTTGCGAGCACAGGACCCTCTGTAAGGCGCTGTGGGCCCCTGACAGATACAAAGCCCCAGACCAGTGCAAACCACTGCCCCTGGCTTTATCCCCGCAAGGGCACCGGCCTCGGTCGATGTAGGGGACTAGCGCCCCCTCGGGTCCCAGCTCCGGTAACGGGTGGACAGCGCAAGCTGTTCCTCTCAGGGCGTAACGACCCTGCCAGCACGCGAGCTCCCTGCTCCAATATTTAGAAAAGATGTGCTATCAGACACTGTGGCGCACGGTGGTATGCTGTTGGCAATGCACCACAGTGTGCCTGCGCAGCAGCTGAGGCTGCAAACCTCGCTCCAAGCTGTTGCTGCACGTGTACATTTTAATAATCATCTTGTAACCCTGTGCTCGGTGTCTTTGCCGCCGGGGCTCAGTTTTCCATTGGTGCAGCTCAGACAGTTGATGGCAGAGCTCCCTCCGCCTTTGGTTATCTTGGGAGATTTTAACGCACACCTTACCGCTTGTGGTTGTGATGACAGCAGCGCACGGGGACGTTCTTTAGAGCAATTTATTCACAAGGGGCCGCTCTGTGCTTTTGAATACGGCCGATCTCGGACGCATTTTACATTACCGGCAGGTCAGACGTCGATTTTGAACCTAAGCCTGGTGAGTCCGCAGCTCGCGGAGCTTTTTACGTGGACTATAGCCGACCGCTTCCCAGTGTGGTTGGAATGCTGTGACCGGGCGGTCCTCGGCCCTCGACCACGACGATGGAATCTCAAAAAAGCAGATTGGGGTGAGATTGAGTCTCAGCTAGAAACAGACTTTGGTGCACAGGCCGTGGATGGTGCAAACTACTCGATCGAACACTTCACGTCCGCGCTTTTACGTACAGCGAACGCAAGCATCCCAAATACATCTGAGGTTCCTCGTCGCACGCCGGTGCCGTGGTGGACCGAAGAGTGCCGAGCTGTTATCCGGGCACGTAGGCGGGTCTTTCGGGCCTTTGGCCACCACGCCACAACCGATAATTTAATCGCATTTAGGAAGGCGAGAGCTTTGGCCCCGCGCACCATCCGGGAGGCAAAGCACGTCTCCTGGCAAGAGTACGTGGGACGCCTAAATCGTTTCACCCATACGTCGCAAGTATGGTCGCAGATTAAGCGTGTCTCCGGCCAGCTTTCCGCGGTTCCTCTACCGGTTCTTGAGGTTGGTGGACAGGACATTTTACACCCCGCTGACGTCGCCAATGCTGACGAGATCGATCGTGCGCTTGCGGAACGGTATAGAGGCGGTAGCGTTGATCCCCAATTCCTGCGTGATAAGGCGCGTTGTTAGGCAAGTCCAGTGGACTTTTCCACCTCTGTGCACCTTGCCTACAACGAACCATTTACAATGGTGGAACTGAGGGCAGCTGTTAGCAGGCTTCGGAGCGTATCAGAGGGTCCTGACGAGATACATAACGACATGATTCGACATTTACCCATCCGCGTACTGGACGTTCTTTTAGCCAATTTTAATCGTCTGTGGGAACGAGGTGAATTTCCGAACATTTGGCGAGAAGCTGTTGTGGTGCCCCTTTTAAAGCCAGGTAAGGGCGGC